TATATTACTATATACCGTAAAAACATTTGAAGCTATTATTTTATTTGTTTGTTGAGTTAAAAAATTATATATATATATATATATATATAATTTATATATATATATATATATATATATATATTTTCGTATTCTCAAATAATTATAATTTTTAATAAATTGAAATATGTAATAATTTCTTGCTAAAGATTCAAGTATCGACATCAAAATCCTGCAGTATTATAATTTCTTAAATTTTTTTCTAGAAAATGTATAAATTCCTAAACACATTTTATCGTGTTTCTCTTTAAATTTATAATAAACTTAAATACTTTAATGAAATTTTACAGTCATTTCTTTACATAATTCTATTCTATACACTTATTTTATATATACTAAAAAATATATTCATAATTTTTCATAGATTTTTATTAACTTCTATAAAATTTAAATAAATGAGGACGAAAAAGGATCTCAATATGCTAAATTAAGACACCAAAAAGTATCAAAAGTTGAGGTATCTATTGTATGAGGGTTAACTTTATACAAAAGAAGTAACAAATAAAAAAGAGATACTTATTATACTTTTATCTATTTAATGTCTGTTTAATTTAAACTTTTTTTTTTTATTTCGGGTATATTCTTAAAAATGAGAGAAAGAGACACATATAATAAGATAATATCTCTACAAATAAAAATATTTTAATTGATTTCATATTTGCGTCGTTTAATAGAATATTTCTCGGGCTATCTAACAGTTAAACTATTTAACAGTTCCCCTTCAATATAATGTTCCCCTTTAAAATAAATAATTTTTATATTTTATGTGATTCTTTTACAGTCCGTCAAGTAAGAGTGTGCGGGTTAATTTGTAGAAAAAATATTTAATACAATTTTCAAATATATGGATATCTTGTACTCGATCCGAACAAAGGTGCAATTATATTAATAATGCGTCCAGTCACCATCGACGTCGATAATTACCTGGCATCTTCAAAGCATGCTTTCAATCAAGTTGACGGCGTATTCATGCGGCAAGGACCTCCAAATGCGACGAATTTCTCGAGTTAACTGCTTCAAAGTGAATACTTTTCTTCCACGAATCTTGTGCTTGATGTATGTCCATACATTCTCGATTGGGTTTGCGTCGGGCGACTGCGACGGCCAATCAAGTGTAAAGATGCCTTCCACTCGATACAAAGCTTGCTGCGGTGTTTGGGATCGTTGTCTTTCTGCAGGATCCAGTTCTCATTGTTTTTGATGAACCAACGTTCGGCAGTCGGTAATAAAGATTTTTTGAATAGTTCGAGCATTCAGATTGTAAGTAAACAGATGCAAAGTTCCGAAACCCAGTTTTAAAAAGCAGCCCCAAAGATACACCTTTACTGGGTGTTTAACGGTCCTCTGTACCAATCTGTTGGTGGAAGTTGACTAGGTTCGTGGAACAATAACATATTCCCAAACAGAAGCTTCGTCCGTAAAAATTACATTGCTCCAATCTCGGTTAATATTGTCCTTCGC